GTTCAGGTTCTGTCCTGCCCTTAAAACTCGATCACCCATGACAAACGTGTGAGGACTTTTACAGCACGTCTTGGCTTTTACAAAATAAATAAATAAAAATCATAAATACATTATCTAAACGAATAATTGACACTTTTTTTTTCATTTTTATTATTAAGAATAATCGACACTTATTCTTGGGGGGGGGGGGAATATGAGGCAATGAATATAAAAATTATAACATTAAAAAAAAAAGTCTTTTCTTTCAAAACCTTAAATTCCTTTTAGGGGCTAAATTAAACAAATCTGGTCGGAAAAAAAATCGAAACCCAAATTACCAGTCTCTCTCTCTTTGTCACACACAAATATACACTTAAAACTCAAATCAACAGAAGCTAAAACGTGAACAGGTAGTGGAGCTGCAATCCTTGAAGGAAGACAGTGGTGGCGTCTCGATTTTGTTGGTGTTTCTGGCGGTTCTGCAGCCCAAAATTGGTCATGATGGATTGTGATCGGCTTCGGTGGTAATGGTGGTGACTGCCAGCGTGCGTGTGTGGAGAGTGTTTTGATAGTAGCTTACATGCTGTAGTGGTTTTGGTTTTTTTTTTTTTAACTAATTATCTTATTTTTAAGTGTTTTAGATAAAATATAAATTGATTTTTTAGTTTTTTAATAGAAAAAACTTCAGCCTTATTTTTTCGGTTATAATAGTTATTGAAAACTTAGATAATATCAGACAATGTATTATTTTTTTTAAAACAATAGAGGGCGCCATACCATAAACAATAACAAAAATTTAAGGGCTTATGCATGCAGCCCTTTACTAGATGGGCGAGGCAATACCTGATATTTATATATATATTTTTTAAAATATATTTTTATATGTATTTTTTTAAATAATTTTTAAATTTACATGAAAATTAATACCCCTTCTCTTTTTTATTTTGTTTATCTAGATTATTTTAAATACTGGTTATTTTTCAGTTATTTTGTATGCATTTAATATTTTGAGAGATTATTCTAATTTATCTATAAATTTTTTGTGTTTTATATAAATAAAATTTATTTTTTAAAAAATAAAAAATATTTATTTTTGGATAATATTCTTAATATGTGAAACCTTGTATAATATTTTTTTATTTTTTATTTCATGTTAATCAATTTCATATAAATCTAATTTTATTATTATTTGATGAAATAAAAAATTGGTTTTTGCAAGCAAAATAGTTGAACACAATCGTGGCAAAAGAAAGCATTACATTCGACTTCAGAAACCCAGCAACAAACCTTTTATTATGTCTGAGGTTCAGTGCGACCAAATTCACCACCCAAATCAGTACATTGTACTTCCGTTACCAGAGCTTCTACTGTATGGAGGTGTTTTGCAGCGGGTGAGATATTTTTATTTTATATAAAAAATTATATGTGTGATTTTTTTAATGTGTTTATGCAATTTAATTTTTTTAATTCAAATTAAAAGTTTTATGTATGTATGTAATCAAATAAATTGGGAATTGTATATTTAAATAAATAATAATTTTTTAAAAATCAAAAGATGAATATATATAATATTTAATCTCGAAAGATAAAACATTCATTTGATTATCTTTATTAATTTTTTATTAAGATAATTTTTTATTTGAGCAAAAGATAATATATAAAAAAATACAAATTAAATTGATTGAATAACATAAAAGAAATAAAAAACATCATATAATGTTGCACATATTAGAAATGTTATTTGAAAATAAAAAAATTATTTAAAAAAATAAAATCCATCCATATAAAAGATAAAAAAAATATTATAGATGAATCAGAAAAACTCATTAAATTTAAATGCATAACAAAAAAATAATTATTATTTAAAAGAAGCTCTCTAAATAAAATAAAAGGGAGAATGAGTACTAATTTAACTAGAAATTAGAAAATATAGAAAAACAATAAAAAAATCATTAATTTAAAAAAGAGCTAAGAAAAAAAAACATCGAGCGCTGCTGGGCCTAGCCTATTTTGTTAAGATCTTTTTACGAGCCTGCCTTGACAGGTCCACATGATAGGGCCGTAATTGTTTTTCTTTTTATTTGTAACTAAGACGAAAGACATGTCGTCCGCCTCAATTACTTTTTTTTAAAAAAATTTAGATGCCGTGTAGTCTGATTTTCTTAAACTTCAACCACTATGGTAACTGGAAAATTAAAACTTAAGCTTTTTTTTATCCCAAAACCCATTTTCAACTTTTTTTTTATACCAAATACACCTATAAAAACATAGTATGAAGTGTGATAAACCTACTTACAGACTCAAAAAACCTAAAAACATGCTTCAAAAACTAAAATCATTCTGAATCCAAAAATCAACTTGAGTTCAAGTCTGTTTTTTCACAAACTTTAAAGATAAAAAAACACATAATATGAATTATTATCGTCCAATGAGACCATTTAACATAAATATTATCCGTTTTGGTTATAATTTTAAAACTTGGATTGGCCTAGCAAGTAGAACCGGGACCCAGCCAACTTGGGACCCGGTTGAGACCCAACTTAAGGAGGAGTGTGCTGGCATTAAGAGTAGTTAAGATGAAAAAGTTAGGCTAAGGACTCTTTATCCTTGATTTTTAGCATCTCATGGAGAAAATCCTCTAGAGAAGAACATCGAAAATTCTATCTCTTGAAATAAATACCCTCTCCTTTACTTATGTTATTTACCTGAACAAGAAAAGAAAGACTGCAAAGAAGGTAGGAATTTACTCCTCTTCTCCTTCTATACGTGCCTTTTACTACAACAGCTAGAGAGGTACAAATTCGAACTTTAAAGCATTTAGAGTATTGAGAAGATTCTTTTTAGTTTTTATTTTTTTAAAATTTTTAACAAAATCCATAATTGACTAATATTATCTAGGACCCAACTAATTATCTATTATTTATTCAATTTAAACTTATTTAACTTAAATTAATATCTTTAATTATTATACACACAAAGTTGGTTTTTTTTTAATTTCTTTTAAACTTAGCCATAAAATCAAAAAAAATAAAAGGTATCCATTATACTAAATATTATTTCTTCAATTCTAACACACATAAATTATAAAATCACACTCAATTTTATAAATGAGTTTCTTGACAATAAATGAAACTAAATGAGGGAAGTTTAGGTTTTTGGAGAGATTTTGTATCAATGATAACGGATTGTGATGGTTGGATTTGTAAGTGGGGATGTTGAAATTCTTAAGAAAGAGTGAGGCTTTGTTGTAATTTGAATTGAAAGAATAAGATAAGAGAGAGTTGTTGGGTTTTAATTTCACTTAAAATCATCAATGAGAATTTTGTTGTTAATTTGACATATCTGTTTAACGCCAATAAAATTCTTTGTTTTTTGTATTTTATTGCTATTTTCATCTAAGATTCTTGATAGAAATTTTTTGTTGTTATTTTTATGGGTAAATCATGATTAAATAATTTTGTTGCTTTTTTTATTAATTTTCTAGTAATGACAGCAAACAGCACTTCTAACACAATACGTGCATCATACGTGTATTATATCAACATTGTAAAAAATCAACCAATAATGAGTTGGTTTAGTAATAAGTGAGCTCTTTATAGAGAGCTCATCCATGAAGTTTAGAGTCTGAATCTTATAAACCACAATATGCAATTGGTGATATACCTACGTCTTCACGCATGATCATGACCATCATAAAAAAGACTTCAAGCTTCGACACTGACATGGTAAATGATATCAGGCAAAATGAATGATAAAAAAAATGATATAGGCATGATCCTTGCTCCTCATCAAGATCCATCAACTTCTCTTTTTTCCATTCTATCACACTTATCTTAATGAATTTTGGAGAAACGAGAAAGGTAATATATATAAGGAACTCTTTTGCTTTGATTCTTCAGGCGATGGCATCAACGAATCAGGTGGAGGTCTAGTGATGGATGTTACGAGTAGTACCGCCATAGTAGAGGCAGAATGTGCTGTTACGGATGTCAGTGATCACCATATATTTTTATATTTATCAAAAAATAATAAATCCCAGGTTTCCGCCATAAATTCCTTCCTTCAACAGGTTTGGATTGAATCTGATGAAATCGCTTAATTTATTAAAAATCTATTTAGATTAAATGGGTTCTTCAAGTGAAAAACATAGCCGATTCAATCAACAAATTTAATTTACACCAGACTTCAGATCTTAAATATTTTAAATCAACCAATAAACGGGGTCAAATTGTATAATTATATCAATAATAATATCGAAAAAAGTGGTTGCAACATACAAACATGCACTCCCTACATAATAAACGACTCTTGTCCACAGTCCTTATCTCCCCAGATCATGTTTTCTTCTCTTTGCATAAATGTCAAGAAGCGTTACAATTCCTATCCGTGCACCTGCTAGCCAAGCAGGCAAAGCCGCATTAAATTTCTTACTGGTTTTAAAAAACAGTTGTGGGAGACACTCAATGCGATTTTGCACCAGTATGCATCGAGACCTGGCATCCCGCATCTTTCCCCATATGCCCCACCTCACATAATCAAACTCAAACATCTATATCTTGATTGAAAATAGTGAATGGCCCAGATTGAATCACAAGAAAAAAAAAAAGGCGAATTGAAGTGATGGGTTTTTTTCCCTTCTGTTGGGGGGTCAGACACTCAGAAATTTTAAAGAATAATTTTGGAAAGCAATGGTGGCCGCAGCAGGGCTCGAAGGCCAAGTCTAGGCTCCCAATCATTTCAATAGCTGACCTTTGAACCGACAACCAGACTCTACCCCTCCATTCACTTTGAACAGAAAACCTGCCGGTTATTCTCCTGCACCCAAATCCTCGTAGCAGTCCTCCACGTGTCTCAAATCAGATGGGTCAGACCTTTTGACTTGACGACCACGGTCAAAAGCCCTGGCCAGGAAAAACCAAAAGGGAACACTTAAATCAAAACAAATCCACCCTTTCAATTTCTGTTTCTCTTAATTCATCGCTAGTATTTATTTGAGCGTCATTGCTCACCCTTTTTTTACTCCCCCATTTCATATTCTGCTTTGTGTCCTTTTTGTTTTCTTTTCTTCCCTCCTACTTTTCTTACTTGAACCTTTTCTCTCCTACGAAATCAACCTTTTCTTCTTCTTCTCCTTTCTTGTGTGCTTTCATGGCCGTTTCACGCTCAAGCTCTTCTAGCTTGGAGCTGACCATGTCCATGCCTGGTTTCGTTTCTTCTCCTTCTTTCCCTTCATCTGGCAAGCCCCAACCCCCCCTGATCTCCTTCTTTCCTTTTGTTTTTATATGATATTCTATCTCATAGCTTTGTTCTTGTTGCGTGGCCGGTTTTCTTAATAAAGAAATCTTCCTTCTGTTTTCTTTTTTTAATATGATGAAAATACATGGTTTTGCTGATCTATTAATTAAATAACTGATTCATTTTATGCCAGAATTTATTTTCTTGATTTATGAAAATGATCATGATGGATAATTAATCGGCGAAGGGGTTTGCGCAGTGAAAGATTTGGACATAAACCAAGTACCATCAGGAGCAGAAGAAGAAGAATGGATCTCTGCAGGCATGGAGGATGAAGAGGAAAGCACTGATGGAGCCCCACCTCGCAAAAAACTCCGTCTTTCTAAAGAACAGTCTCGCCTTCTTGAAGAAAGTTTCAGGCAACATCACTCCTTGAATCCCGTAAGTACTAAACCTCCCCTCTTCTCTCTCTCTATTTATAGTAAAACAATTATGTTTTGTGATTTATTTAAGATTAATTTGTGGAGTTTAACTATTTTTTATGCATGCAGAGACAGAAAGAAGCATTAGCTTTGCAGTTGAAGCTGAGGCCTAGACAAGTTGAGGTGTGGTTTCAAAACCGCAGGGCCAGGTACTGTACCTTACATTTATACTATTTCATGCTTGGGCTTGGCTTGGGTAACACATTAAACTCTCTTTTAATCCCTTCAATATATATTTTGTTGGTTGTTAGGATTAAAATTGATGATTATAAGGTGGACACACACACACACACACATCAATTATAAGGTGGACACACACACACACACACACATCAAAGTTGACAGAATATAATCTGAATCGGATTCTATATCTACCCGTATAAATCGTACTGATTATATATCATCAGGAAGAATAAGATCTTTTGAGAAATGGTTTTTTCTTAGAACATTATATATATATATCTGTGTGTGCAGAGTACAATATAACCTCAATACTACGATGGTTAGCAGTATAAATAATTAAGATGCTTTAATTCTTTGGCCATCTTCATGGCTAAAGCAAAGAAATTAGGCATCATAAATTATCGAACTTTTCCACCGCATTTAAAACCTGTCCGGGGCGGTTAACGTGTCCCTTTCATGATTATATTATACAGTAAAAGATGTTAGAATGTGATTCTTGAGCCCTTAAAATGACGAATTGTTCATATATATGCCAGTAAAGGGAGGCAGATGTTGACGCGAAACTGTATAGTTATACGTGCTTGTTATGGATTTTTTTTTTTTTTTGAGTTATGATTTTGAGACTTATTAGTGATGAAATTAAACTGTTTTTCTTTTGTTGGTTAGTCATGGCGCGGATTTAGTTAAAAATATGGTTACATTAAAATTTACATTTATGCTAAAATATCTGGAATTAGATTTCAATCGAATATCCACATAATATGGCAAAAATGAATGCAGATAAGCAAGGCCGGGGGTGCAAACAATAATTCTAATAGTAATAGTAGCAATTAAGATAGATAACCCTTACTGCGTATATAGTTGTCAAGTTATGAAGGTAGATGACATCTGAAATATGAAGTTAATTAGCCAAGGTGTTTTAGTTTCTTGCCATAGAACCCTAAAATATTGCAAATACAATTAATAAATAAACTTGATTCAATACTACTACTAGTACTATATGGTTTGAGAATAAATTAAGACACTTGAGCGACAAGTGGCTCAACAAATTTATGAACATTTAATGATGAGGTTATTTCATGGGCTAAACTTTGTGAACTAATATAATGACGGTCGTTCAAATATATAGCAATCTAGTATCAAGATGCATGTGTTCTTTGGCCTCGTGCGCTAGTCTGACCATAACTCTAATAAGTGTTACTTTGACTCGCTGTTAATAATCCTTTTCTAGGACTTTTATTATTATTATTATTATTATTATTATTATTATTATTATTATTATTATTATTGTTTATTACAATATTATTGAATGAAATCAAGAGAGACTAAGCATTTGCTCTTCATTATCATGTTAACTGCTATTTTAATCAGTCAAAAGAAACGGATCCAAAGCTGTAAATTCGATAATGAGTCTCTTAAAGCTTGACTGCATGATTATACCAGATCAACAGACGAGATAGACATTGAATTAAAGTTGAGTCTAACGATGCTTTATGAGATAATTTGATAAAAACAGGAATATTGAACATATATGGTATGATAACAACAGGTGTCGAATGCATCCATAAATGCTTACCTTGTATGTATGGTTTACGGAAACAAAATTCTCAAAAGTGCACTTGTTATACTCTGAAAGCTGTAAGGAACACCCAGCGAATCGAGGGAAGCAGGCAATGGCTTTAATGCAAGCTCTTAAATATGCCTACCAACTCGCCTTTGTTGGACAAGTTAACATGGCATGCATTTATGATTATTTTCATCACTTTACATTTACAACTCAAATCCAAATTAATGATCATAAACCAATATATATGGGGTACTAGCGCAAACGTTTTCTCACATTGTTTTATCACAATGTCACACATTATTTTGTACCAATCTTCCAATGTTAACACATTTTTCTGGTCACGTATAGGAGCAAACTTAAGCAGACAGAGATGGAGTGCGAGTACTTGAAGAGATGGTTTGGTTCATTAACAGAGCAGAACAGGAGGCTGCAAAGGGAAGTAGAGGAGCTTAGGGCTTTAAAGGTGGGTCCACCAACCGTGATATCTCCTCACAGTTGTGAACCTCTCCCAGCATCCACGCTTACAATGTGTCCACGTTGCGAGCGTGTGACAACCACCGGCGTGGACAAGGGCTCCACCAAAACCACACGTACTGCTGTGGCCAACCCAACAATAGCCGCCACCTTGTCCTCTGAAAATGGAGCACCCGCACTCCAATCTCGGCAATCTTGCTAGTCAGCTATAATATGATTGATTACTTTGATGTGAAAGAAGATAGGTTAGAGAAATATTGTTCATAACAGTTTACGCCAAAATGTTTATGAGATAGATACTATAGCATATGGTATCTAATCTACATGGATAATTAATTTACTTATCAATTAGCACCTTTTTCTTTTTAATGCCCTTTCCAGTTGACTGTTTGGCTCTTTTCTTTTTCAAAGTATAGGAAGGCGAAGTAGATTACTTTGAATTTGGAGCCCTCTACTTTATCTGCATCCAAATTTCATGCTAATTACTATATATGCGCTTCTGTTCATTGGCTTTCCGTGCGTACCAGCATATATTGAGGGGAGACGAAACTCCATGGTGTTACGATCGATAAGCACCCATATAAAATACTCGTGGAAAAACTTTCTAAATGGACATTAAATTTCTATTCAATCTCCACAAAGTCATAATGTTCAGGTGGCGGTCGGAAAAACCTAACGTGAGAAATTCTGGAAGTGGTAATGCCTTACCAGGAATTACAGCTAATTCTTGCTACGATATTCTTTTCAAACACAATGTCAACATCATGATTAATTAGTTGATGCGACGTTCTTCATAGAATTCCAATTTAATCTTGTTTTTGGGTAAACAAAATGAGTGTACATGCATAAAAAGAAGAAGAAGAGACTATTATAATATTTCATACTTACATAAACTTGGATTAAAAGAGATTCACAATATACATTGCATCCGTGTCAGAATGGAAGTTTAGATTGCCCTAGTAAATGAGTAAAGTATATCTTTTAAACATGAAGCTGATGGTGGAACAATTTAATACCCAGTACTAAAATAGTATGTTAAAAAAATATAAATAATAATATTTTGAAACTTTTTTTTTATAGTAGTAATCGAGAATTGCATTAAAAGATAGTTATTTAGATAATGGCAAAAAAATGAAGTCTGATACAAAAAGGATGAACAACTTAAATTGTGTTAAAAAATGTGCGTTAAAAAGCAGAAGAAAATAATAATTTGAAAAACCTCACACATAATTTTAGAATAAGATACGATCTTTAAGTCACTTAAAATTTTTTATAAATTATTTCAAAAAATTTCTACTAAGAACTTAAATTGAGCTGGTTACTTCACATTGTCTTCTACTACTACCACGCGTGAACCAATTCCTCTCACGAGCAACAATTCCTCTCATGAGCAAAAAACTTTGTATCTTAACGGTCGTGTTGCAAATGAGCTAGAGCTCTTATCATGCATGAGAGAATGAGTACAAGGAGATATGGTGGGAAGGCTGAAGGCTCGTCCTCTGATATCATAAATATGTGTAGCTTGTTGTATGGTTCAAGGGTCAAGTTCAGTGTTGATTGAAGAAAAAATCAAGTGCAACTAGCATCCTTTTTGAGGAAGCCAATATTCATGCCAATCGAATTATCTTATCGTTACCTGACTTCCACCCGCAAACTACAACGCAAAATATTTAAGAAATATATCCCGTATTTCTCAAAATAATAATAATAATAAAAAAAACGTAATGTACGCACGCGGTGGCGGAATCCATATATCATCCGAGAAGGGAACACGTGAAAAATCAAGCCGGTTAATAAATTCGAGGCAATGCTTCGTGATTGAAGGCAATGGAGGAAAAAGAAGGTGCGGGGGATGAAATTTACTAGGAGACAGATTGCTCGTATCAAGGATAAGTGGCAGGGGCTACTCTCTATGATTTTCAACAGGTCTTAATCCCACCGACCAGGGAACCAGAAAGACTAATTGTTGTTTTGCTCTTACTAATTAATGAATTACAAAAAAGAAGGAAAGAAAAACTGGAAAAGAATAGCGCTAGCTTCTTTCTTTTTCTTTTTCTTTTTTAAATTATTATTGTTATTACTATCATTATTATCCTTTTGCTTTCTATTTTTACCTAAATAACTCTTGCCAAGAACAAAAGGTTCGGTGAAGTGGCCTTCATCTCTTTGCTTTGCTTGATGGGCTTCCTCTATTTAATATCGCCCTCTTCAGCTAAGATTTGACGTCGATATCATGCCCTTGTCAATTAATGCAGATATTGTGTCCTTAAAATTGCAACCCAAGGGCATTCATACCACAACATCAGAGTGTGGCACGCTTAGTAGTCGTCTTTTTATTAAATTTATTTTCCATTTTAGTTTCACAACACCTGCGATGCATATTTGGTTCCCTTAACAAATGAACAAACAAGGTCACATTTCGAGGCAGCATTCAAAAACTTTATTTTTGAGACATGAGTTCGATATGACCATATGAAAATGTTTTAAAGATTTTTCGGAAAAAAAAAATATGACCATATGAAAATGTTTTAAAGATTGTTCGGAAAAAAAAAAAACAAAACAAAACTTAATTTTAACATGTAAACTTATCCAATGATATTTCTTATTCATTGAAATAGATAAGAAAAACAAAGTCACCTTGGACATCTTAATAATGAAATAGTGATCTTTCTTTTTTCTAGCTAGCAAAGGAAAAACCCACATGATAATCTTTTTAAAATTTGACAAAAGAACACTACCAAATTGAGATCAGGCGATGGAAGAATTAATTCGATCTTGATATAAAATAAAATTTCCATCCTTTCTCGACCCAGACAGTGTAGAATGATATGGGCCCAATACCAAGGATCACGAGCCTTGCTAGAATTTCCAACTCCATGTATGCGCTGCCTATTGCTTTCTCGCTAAATCTGGCCTACCTTCAAAAATCAGGTCATAGCCCAAGATTTACGGCCCATTTACTTTTCTCATCAGAGCTCTTCTACCAATCCACAGGCCCTACATCTTCAGGCAATTGAGATTAGCCCAAGCCTATTTCCATTTCAGAACGCAAATGAGAAGGCAGCAAGCTGAAACCAGTTACATATACCAGACACGGATGAAATCTTACGGTATGGTTTTAGCCTATTATCAAAGTGACATGCAGTCAGTAACCAAAGGATTCATGGCAACTCGTTATCTGAGCATTCAGTAAAATCATGAGCTGGTGATGATGGGAAGGAAACAAAAGCGAAAATTTTAAGATAAAAAAAAAAACATGGGCCAGACAATTCACTATGGAACTCATTTCAAGGCAGCGAACAAGGAAGTGTAAGTCTCAGGCTTTCAAATAAGCCCAAAGGGACACTCTTTGAGACAATAGTCTTGCTATACAAGTACAACTAGTGTTATCTGTGGAGGACATGTCCAAAATCCAACTTCCCTTCGTAGCATAGGAATACTTCTGTTTTTAGCAGCAGATTTGCTCTTGATTACTGGTCCACCCCGCCATAAAAATTGGAGGTAAAATGCTTCGGATCAGATAATTAACTAATTTAGGCACACTGCAAATGTGTTCATAATTAATTTCTTGCTTCTCATTTGTGAATAGTTCCTGGGGTTACTTAATTTGAATAGTTCCTGGGGTTACTTAATTTATGTAGCAGGGGATTGAAGATTTGGGGAAGATGATGGCACTTGTACCTGGGTACAACGTTTTGTTTTTTTCAATTGCAGAGGAATCAGATAGGTCTCTATCTAAATCCAACGTTGGACAGTTTACAGCTAAATTTTGCAGTTAAGGATGGTCTGATTCAAAGTCGGTAGAAAAGGTGACTGATCGAGCAAGAGCGAGCTCCATAGTCAACACCCGGCAAACATCAAATTAAGAAGAAATAGCCAGGGTACAATGTTGTCCCTTGATATAACTGGCAGCCATTATTTTGTTTTAATTCTTAAAGAGAAGATTCAGTCATGGGCCCTTCCAGGTGGCAGGCAGAAGCCATACTTTGGTATCAGGTGATTGATTAGTCAAGATATGGATCTCATTTCTTGAGCTGCTAGAATCATATAAATTGGCAAACCATAGCCTTTTAGTCTTTCAATTTTGCCAACGATCTTCGAGAGATATTTTGTACTCCGAGAAGATTTAAAGCAAGGAGGGGAAAAATAAGAAACCCACTTCAGATTGTCACTTGTATTATTAAATGACTAGATAATGCATATGGGTTTTGAGCTAACAGCTAGCCTGCCTGTAAGAAGTAAAATTTGATTAACTGAGGAAAGGATTTCCGGGTCTTCACCCCGTCATACTATAAACTCACTACATTCTAACATCCACAGACTGAGCAGTTAAACAGAAACTCCCTCCCTACCAAATATTTAAGAGTGAATTCACCTAAAGAACTAATCGATCGAACCACATCACATGAGGCTAGCCCCAGATGACTCGCGTTCCCTTCACAAATAAATGTTCGCAGGTACGAGTTTGTGACAATGCCAGAGAAATTTGTCATGGAAGTTTCCTAGCCAACCAGAATGTGTCAAAACATAAACTAAACATGTCTCCAAGCCCCTATTAAATATGCTCCCTTCAACTCTTGATTTTTCAATTTTAAGAGTGGCAAGTCCCTAGAGATGAGATTATCATTGAATTCAACCTTAGCTGGCTCTTTCGGAAAATTAAATAAAACAAAAATAGAGAGATAAAGAGAGGGCAAAATACCCTTTTTATACCTGGGGATGGTGAGCGAACCATCTTAAAAGAATGTTCTCACATGCTTGGCTCTGGAGTCAATAAGCTAGAGCATCATGTTTAAAGAAACCCCACAAGCATGAAACCTAATTCCAATGTAATTATGTAAATTAGCTGTTGTTAGCAAGTTTTGTTGCTGTTGTTACCGAGCTTTGGAGTGCTAGAGATTAACCCCCTCTCAAAGCTTTGTCACGGCTGAAGACTAAGTCAAGACTGGTAGTCACGTGTCAGCGAATCAGTGGTTTGTTGAACTGCTCGCATTGGAGTGCATGTGAACAGATATTGGGCAGTATCAAGGCCTGTCTAAATTGGATCAATCTTTGTTGTTAAGCTAGATTATTCATAAAGAATTGATCGTTAACATCCACTTCAAGGTGGTTTTCAACATTACATCAGGTTAATCTCTAGTGGTTGATTGTGATTTCGGAAAGAGGTATTAGTATTAATTATTATTAACAGGAAATATCGGACTAATCAAGACGCACCTTGGTGCAAGAAAATGGACCATGAGGCCCAATCAAAGAAGAGGCAATTCCTTAACGGGTGGGACTGCCTTGACCACCCTCACATGCAGAGCTTTGAGAAACAACACCGTGCTCCGAGTATTAGGAGCTGCATCTTGAAATAAGAAACAATC